AAAAAAAAAAATATATTCCTTAAGCTATAAGCAAAATTAAACAGAATCACACAACAACATAATTAAACATACCAATGACAAACACAGGCAAGCATCAGCAGTCATAAACATCACACTGAGTTTAATGTCGGCAGATGTACATAGTTGTAAACTGATCAAAAGAGCCAAAGTAATTTCACATAACGTTTTGAGGCTTTACGAACGGAAAGAAAAACATGAAGCACTTAACAACTAACAAAAGATCCACATCTCTTTCATCATCATCATCATAGGCAAAAAAAAGGAAGGCTTCTGCAGAAAAACATAATGCGGGTTTTAACTCTTAGAAGCTAGCTTCTCTTTTGCCTTCTGAATCTTCAACACCTTCTTCACAATTTTCTGCTCTTCCACCAAGAAAGCCCGAATAATCCTATAAAAAGGTAGGAAAAAAAAAAGAATTGTCAGTCCATTTCATCACAACACAGACAGTAAAAAAAAAAATCAATCTTTGCCTAACTTTTGATCTTAAGCATTAGATGGAATTTACCTTTCCCTCACAGCACTTCCAGAAAGAACACCACCATAAGGACGGTTCACAGTCCTGCGGTTTCTAGGCAATCTGGACCTCTTATACTCAGCAGGCCTCAAATGAGGAATCTGAAATGGAATACACAAAATCTTTAAACTATCTGCCCCACATATGCATCCAGTGGCACGAAATAATCAATTATGGGGTTAGGCAAAAAGTAAAAGAGGGCAAGAAAATCGAAATGACCGTAAAATGAAATACTAAGCAAGTTCATGAAAAACTCTCTTGTGCATTATATTATACAACTACAAATTCAATACGATTCATCACCATCAGAAGCTAATGCCACATAACGAAAAATAGGACATATAATATACGAGCGTGCTGCATATAACTTCTTTTCTTTTTTTATTTGCTTCAAAAAAAAGAAAATGGAATGGAACCGTTCAACCGATAACCACCCTATGCAACAGAACCAAGACAAATAGTCAAATCAAATATCGAGAGACTTCATAGTATAATATTTGAGTGTTAAATGATATCATAATACCATAAACTCTGGAGATGAAGCGAAATCATGAACTGCTCTCCAGTTCCTAAATTTATTAATCAAACATAATGCCCCTGATTTCTTATTTTTGCTTCAAGAAAAAGAAAATGTAACCACACTATGCAGCAGAACCAAGACAACAACGTCCAATCAAATTTCGAGATCCTTTATTGTATAACATTGAGTGTTGAAATGGTATCATAAAATGACAAACTCTGGAATAAAATGAAATCACGAACGGCTCTCAACTGCCTAAAATTATTGATCAGACATAAAGGCCCTCACAACAGTTCTTTTTTGCTTAAAAACAAAATGTAATGAAAACGTTCACCGGATAACCACCGTATAGAGCAGAACCAAGACAAAATGGTCGAACCAAAATTTCAGGATCCTTCACTCTATAACATTTGAGTGCTGAAATCATGTCATAAAACCACAAACTGTGGAAATAAAGAAAAATCGTGAACTGCTGCCCATAGCCTAAATTTAATGTTCAAACATAATGCCCCTCACAATAGTTCAGTTTTGCTTCCAAGAAAAAATAAAACGTAATGAAGTCGTACAATATATATGCAGCAGAACCAATACAAAACGGTAAAACAAAATTCTGGTTCCTTCATTCCATAACATTTGAGTGTTGAAATCATATCATGGAGCCCAGAAACCATAATCTGCTCTCCATTGCCTAAGTTTATTGATCAAAACACAATGCCCTCACAACAATTCTCAACTAAATCAAGCCCATATTCGAAAAAACACAATGCTGGAATAAATATTGATAAAACAAAACTAATATGCCCAGAGACTAATAGAACCTAATTAGATCACAAAATCTATTAGTGGAACACAAATACACAAACACAGCACTGATCCCCAATAACATAACATTAATCATATACAACCTATTAATAACGAAAGCTCAAAATGACGACAAAAATCAAATACCCCTTGGATCCTCTTGCCGGTGACTGGACACTTGGGCCCGCTAGCTCTCTTCTTAGTGGTCTGATACACCAGCTTCCCCCCTATCGTTATCCACACAGGAAAAGAACAATAAAAAAAAAATACGAAAATTTTGAAAATGTACAAGAAGACGATAATCCCCAAACAAGATCGCAAAAGGGACTTCGAAGATGTTACAAACTCACCAGGAGTTTTGACAACTCTGTGCTGATTAAATTTGGTGGCGTAGCTATGGCGAGTCCGGTAAGTGAGCCTCTGAACCATTTTTTCGTGCGCTACCTCAAATCTCCCTGCAACAGCTTGTAGATGGCGGACACACCAGAGGATTCTCACTGGCGAGGCTTGGTGATTTATATGAAGCTGAAAGTCAAAAGTCAAAACCCTAGAAATCTGTCCATTATTTTGTTTGAAGGTTTATTTCTAACTAGTACAGAGCCCGTGCAATGCACGGGATACACAATTTTAGGGTCAGTTATCTAGTCATATAATTATATAAATGAATAAAGAAAATGTATTAGATATATATAGTACGTGACGGCACGAGATATATTTATTTGGGGATTATTATACTATAAAATGCAATATTCAATAAAAAGTTTACAATACACGAAAATAAATATAAATAATGTAAATATATAAACACATACACGATATGTAGAATAAATAAGCCAAATTTCAAATTAGAAAATATAATTAAAAAAATCGAAAATATATTTCACTAAACATGTACAAAAATATCTAAATACATATACGAAAATAAAAAAAAAATATAATACACGTTTCAAATTTCAAAATTAAAATAAAAATTCAAATAATTTGGCTTACAATTTTACCATGCAGAACCAACTCGAGATATGATTTGTATGTATTGCCCCTAGTCTTGGAAAAACATTCTCACAATTCGAACTCTGAGCATAGGTCTATTAGACCTATTCACTTGTTTGATTAACTCAAATCCTTTATTCATTGTTTTGAATAAAATACTGATTGATGATGTTTTTTGTTCGCAGGAGGTTGACATTGAAGAGATGATGGCTCGATATTTTGAGATTTTTAAGTTATAGTGGTAGAGTAGATATATATTGTTAATATTTTTATTAGAAAATTTGAATCTGAATATACAGAAATCGGTTTGAACAAAACCAGAACAGATTTCTATACAATTAGATAATAAATAAAGCATTTTTATTTTAGTAAATATTTTACGTACTTTTTTTTACTTATCGGATGTTATGGGATTTTTTTGTTAAACCGATTTTATGGGATATAATACAAATACAATTAGAGGATTGAACAAAATTAGAACAAATTCCATACAATTAGATAATAAGAATGAATTAGATAAGGAAAATAAGGAATTAGATAAGGAAATTTGAATCTGTCTTTTTTTAGTATAGATAGACTTTACGTACAAATTTTAACTTTATCGATTTTATGGGATTTGTTTGGCAAAATTTTATGTTAATATAAAATAGGACAAATAAATAAAGCTTCTTTTATTTTGGTAAAGATTTTACGTCATTTTTTTTTTTACTAATCAGATGTTATGTGATTTTTTGTCTTAAATTGATTTTATGAGATATAAGACAAATAAATAAAATAATTAAATAAAATAGAAATAACAATGCATTAATTACGTTGACTTTTCAACCTACTAAATTTGGTAAATAGGATACCTTATTATATAAGTATAAATTTCTAACTAGAGTCGTGTTTCACGTTATGGCGCAAGAGTAAACGAGCCGAGCTGAGCCAAATCGAGCCGAGTTGATCATTGATCATATCGAGCAAGATTGATTTTTATTTTACTTGCTCAAAACTCGATTTACGACGCTGGAGATCGATTCGACAAATAAAAATATTCGTTCGAGCTCGACTCGAAATCGAGTGAAATCAAAATGCTCGAAAGGTTGCTTGAGTTAGACTCAAGTTCAACTCAAATGTCAAATAAATGTACCAATAAGTACATAAATAAAATAGTGTAATATTTATATATATAAATTATTTTAGTAATTCACTACATACCTCGAGTCGCTCGCGAGCGGCTCGACCTTCCAAAACTTATACTCGAGATCGACTCGATAACTAGCTCGAGCAGCTCGAGCATCGGCGAGTTCGGTCAAACTTGAGCTCGAGACGAGCTTTGACTCGAGCCGCTCGGTTCGTTTGCATCTCTAAGCCCTAGGCACAACTCGAAAATAAAGTAAACCCGTTGAACGAAATGAGTTGCTCATGAGCTTAGTTCAACTCTGATGAGTCGTGAAAGCTGATTAGACTTTATAAATAAGAATACTTATGTATTTTTTGAAACTTTTTTTACTTATCGATCGTGAAATTTAAGCTCAACTTGACTCATCACGATTTATAATTAATAAAATCATTTTATTTCTACAAAAATTGGTATATTTAATCGAATTCCAAACAGTGTTTATTGAAGTTTTGCAAATTATAAAAAAAACCCGTAATATTAACTCCAGTTATATTAGTTGTTAAAACATTACTAACAAACCTTATTTTTCGAAATTGGTAAACTTTTTTTAGCTCAATGATGAAAGTTTATTTTGAGGTGATTACACTTTATGCTTGATAAATCGAAATATTTTTTTTAATCAGTTTTAAACTTTTATCATATAACGGCTCGTTAAAGCTCGAGCTTAGCTCCGAGAGCTCGATTTACAACTAAGAAATCGTTTTATTTTATGAAAATTCGCATCCTTCCAATTTAAATTAATTAATTAAGTGAGTATCAAAGTCTTGATGATTGTACAAATCAATGGTATCTGTCATACACATTCGTGAAAATGAAGCCCATAAGAAAAACAGTACATAATCGCTCAAGCCCTTGAGAAAAGTTGGACCGAACCCAAAATGTTGTGCATCATGTCGATCTCTATGTCGAGATAATTGTCGATCCCTAACGGCTCGTTTCCCGACCTCTCTGCAGAACGTGAACAACTTCTGACAATGGAAACAATAATGCCGACATCTCTCGGTTTTATCCGAGAGATGAAACTTTCTTTCGGACGGTTACACTCGAGTCGAGTTCATTGGGTACGATTTGCTGAGAAAATTTCACCTGTTTACATCTTTCTAGTTTTAGTGATTTTGATGAAGAGAGACAAAATCCAATACTGCAAAAACTGTAGAATAAAATGACTACATAGAAAGAAACTTATCCCTATTCAAGTACAAAATTAGACTCCAAAATCGATGTGGGATAGCCTGGCTAATAATAAGCTACAACAATGGCAGCTAGAAAGAGCTCATCAGCAGGGGAAGAGCAAGAAAGCGGGTTCGACATGTATTCTCCTATTTACAAAACTAATCCTATTTAGCTTGTTACGACACCAAATCAGTTGTTCCCTCGTTATTTTCGACATGTTCAAAACCCGACAAACTAACTTCATATCCACTTGCGAGAAAAAATAGAGAACTTGATCTTCCGAGGAGTCATCTTCCCTGCACTGCCTGAATTTCCTCAGAATGCAGTTTTCACTCCGCAAGATATCCTTTATCTTCCTCTCTTTCTGCATAAACACAAAAAATACGCAGAAATTAGAAAAAAATTCGTTCAAATTGAATCAAGTCTTTAATGAGTAATGACCTTTAGAAGACTTCTTTTGAGCTCCGCAAATAACTCGAGGTCTTCTGTGCTCAGAAGCTCGGGAGTTCTTTTATGACCATTGTTGAGTGAAGCTATCGAGCAATCTTTATCAGCCCGAACAAATCTCCAAAATATACGTATAGATTCCTCCACCGTCTCGACCAGCATTTCGGTCGTGATGAAATATTCGCCCGTAGCTTTTGTCCTAACCTTCCTTTTGTCCTCTGTCAAAAATCACCCAAAAAAATTGCCATTTTCAAGAAATTTTAAATGATGATCGATTTTTTCGATTTTTGCTTTTTTTGTTTTTTCTTTTTTTTTTTTTGGGTATCTTACCTCTTATGATGGGAACTTGGAGGAGATTTCGAACGGCACATCGAGTCTTGACGTAATTCTGCACCCTCGGACCCTGAAAAGGCTCGTCTTCCAAGAACCTCTGCACGAGCACTTGGAACTGTTGAAACTCGCCCGCCACCTCGTTGTACGTGCGGGCCCCACTTGGATCCGATTCCCAAAGGTCGAGGACTTTTTCGTATTGCCAATGCAAAAACTCCCACGAGAGGCTCGTCTGGCCCACGTACACGGCCTCTAAATCGCCCTGAAGCTCCTGCACGAACTTTTTCATGGGGTCCGTGCCGTGGATTTTGTGTTTGAACAGCCAGAGGTTTTGCGAGACGAGCGATTTTAGGGTCGGTGGGGACGGTTTATGGGTCGAGACTGATTTCATCGGGTCTTTGAGTTGCAGAAAGCCTGCATTACACATTTTTTAAACACACGTGACATATTTTGAAAAAACAATTTAACTGAAAGTAAATCCATCCAAAATGTATGAAAGATCGACTCGCCTAACCGGTGACTTTAACACAAATTTTTTGTGTCATTCATCTTTTAGTACAACCTACTTATAAACACAAAAAAGTCTCATCAAACCTAAGAATGTGAAAACAAGACCTTACTTACACTAACAAAAGATTACCAAACAAAGAAGAACAGTCAACAATCAACAAAAAATCAATCATAAACCAAAGAAGACTACAAATTTATAATTATATATATATATACACTAAAAAAAACACAATAATCGAATCGAGTCGAGTCATAACGAATGATGAACTAACCCATGGCGTACATCTTCTGATAGTTGATGATGTCGAATTTTCGCATCTTCTCCCGGTAGCTCTTGTAAAACTTGTGGAGCCCGGCCGAGCAGTTTTTTTCCCGTTGGAACTCGTCGATTTTCCACGGCTTCAAATCGTCCATCAACTTGGGCGACTCGGATTCTTCTAGAATTGTGGGTAGGCCCGTGGCACGAACCTTCTTGAGCTCCATTTTTAGCTGCTCGATCAACTCTTGATGCTCCCACAACGACTCGAGCTCCTCCTCATCCTCGGAAAAATCATTCGTGCTCGATTTTTCAACTTTCTCATCTCCATTTGTTTCAAACTTATCGTTAAAATCATCGAAGCTCAAGAAACCCGAGCTCGAGGTATCGAGATTTTTCGAATCGCTATCTTCTTCCAATTTCGCGAGCTCATCCATTATGTCGCTATCCTCGTCCGAGAAATCATCGGACGAGTCTTGATTTTCGTCGAAAATCGACAATTCGCTAAAAGTTTCGGTTTTCTCGTTTTCGCTTTCCGGTGGTTCGACTCCGAAATCGCCGTCCGATAGGAAACCGTCGGTTTGTGGGCCCACCAAACGGGTCATAACCGAACGTATGTGCTCGAAACTCGTGGAGTCCGAATCAGAATCGGAATCGGCTATCATAGAAATTTTATCAGATGATAAGTGATTTTCATCATCATCAGTTAGCTCATCCTCCTGAACAATTGTTTGCACCTTACTTTCTGAATTTTCTTGAAATTCAATGTTTGCCCCAGATTCTACCTGAATGTTTTCTCCTTTCTCACCTGTTAGATCAAATTCCTCATCCGAAGTTTCTTGAAATTCAATTTTCGCCACAGTTTTCTCGTTTTCATCGCGGTCAACTACCAGAATTTCTTCTCCTTCCTCATGCCCACCACATGTTCGATCAAATTCCTCATCGAAATTTCCATCAGTAATAAACTCCCCTGTACCATCAATTTCCTCCTTCACGACAAAATCCTCAATCTCATCAACAATGGCCGGCTCGAATTTGCTGTAATTACCTATTCCTTCATGGGTTTTGCTGAACTCCTCAAAAGTCGGAAACTTGAACTTCAAACATATCTCCTCTGGTTCATCTTCTTCCTCGGACCGAACACCAAAATCCCCACACTCAGCGCCATCTTCTGGTTCGAGAAAATCAATTTTCTTACCGTCCTTGTCCAATACACCACTCTCCTGTGCTGCTTTCAGCCTAATCCTATCACCAAAAACAAATACCTAAAATTACCAAAAAAAAAAAAAAAGTGAAGAATCGTGATTTGTGGTGCGGTGCTAATTTTAAAGATTAATCACCTGAAAACGCTGGAGAAAACAAATCCGATAACGGCATGAACTAAGTACACGAGCTTCTGACAGAGAAAAAGTGAGCTAAAACCCGCCATTGTTATGCTCCAAATAAACAGACCCTTTTTGAGACAACCATTAATGTGACCCTCTAAAAGCTCAGGCGGCCATGAAAATGGATTAAAAAAAAAACAGGGAAAATTACAGGTGGTGCAATTTATGGCCTCGTTGAATAATTCAAAGGAGGGCGACCAAAAAAAAAGGGACTTAGCACCTGCAGACAAGAAAACCGGGGGGTTAGCGTCGAAAAATAACAAACGCCATAGGATTTGGCGCATGAATCTGAGTCATAGGAAGTTGAAATCCGACCAAATCAGGCAAAAAAGATAGAAAAAAAATTGCAGGGATTTGTGAGATTTGGAAGGAAGATAGTTACCCGCCAGCGACTAAGAAGGAGAGATTAATATTATTATTAAAAATATTAATATTCCCGTTTTTTTTTTCCTTTATTTAATGATTTTATTCCCCTGATTATTTTGCTTGGAGCTTTAGGAAAGCTTTCGTCTTTCCAATCACATGATAAAATGCATGAAAAAAATGGGGTTTATCAGAATTATCAGTTGAGACTTGAGAGGTCGGTTTGTGCTGGATATGGAGACACAGAGAGAGTTTTGACAATTAGAATTTTGGACATAAATAAGAGAAATGCAACGATTCGGTGTTTTAATCGTTGGATACACTACGGTCCCGTTAGTTTATTCAACGGTTAAAGTACTTGACGTGATAAGACCATAACGAGACCATAACATTTCAACCCCTCGTGGGGTTTTTTATTTTTATTTAAATTTTTTTTTTTTTTTTTCAATTTTGTATTATAGGTTGTTCGTGCTCAATTAAAATAAGTATTGCAGTTTGATGTATCAAATGACAAATGACATCATTCTTTATAAAATTATATGATTTTTTATAAGATTATATGCATTTGTTTATTTCTAATCTTTTATAATTGACCGATTGACCTTATAACGTGGGATCTCAATTTTCAACAATAAATAGTCTATTATAGCAATATATGGATGAATCATTGAACTCATAATTAATTATTTGTGACAATTGAAATAAACAACAAATAACTCAATGTTTTTTTTTTCTAAAACAAATTATCATCTATATATAATATATATATTAATATGATTATAGGCAAAATTTTAAATAAAATAATTTCTAATACTAAGTACTAACTACTCATAAAGTCACATTAAATTAAATATTATTTTATATCAAATTATTTACTGAAAAGTATTATTATTATCATTATTTTAAGCTCATTAAGCAAGTTTTTATTTTAATCAAAATTAGTTAAAAATTTTGTTATGGTATAAGTTACAACAAAACTCCTTAAAATTCCGTACAAAATTGTTAGACTAACTAATACAGTACCCGTCGACGCACATAAGCATTTATTACCTATTTGATTTTTAAACGGTATTTTTGTATTTAAATTGTCTCATGAAAATATCATGAAAATAAAATTTTTATATTATTAAACACCTTTTATGTACAACATTATTGGTTTGATTGTTTGTCACGTAAAATACTGCATGTATGATCGAATTTTATATAAAATTGCATATTATTGGTCATTAGTCAACAAATTATATTTTATTTAAAAAAATAAGGAATTTTATTTATTATGCAAAATTCTAGTAGAAAAAAAAAATAGAGATTGTAGGGATTTTCATCCCATTTTATTATAATTTAATCTAATTAAAAAATAATTTATATTTATATTTTTCACAGTCAATATTACAAAAATTACATCATTGAAACCAATATAAAAATTAATTTGTAAGTTAAATAGTTTATATTTAAGTTTTTACTTAAATTAATGATAAAATTTACAAAATGTGATATGTTTATTATATAACTTATGATGTTGACTATTACATACAAATTCATGCAACATAAAAAATTCTATTGAGTCATCGGATGGTTTTCTTATAGAATAATCGAATAGTTAATGTATTGACATCTGTGAAAAAATGTATTTGTTGTAGGACACATGTCAATATACTTTTTGTGAATAATTATGGATAACGCCATATGCCGAGCCATCCGATAATTCCATAGCAAAACTGCATACAATATACAAATATTTATACGCATATATATACATTTACACATAATGGAATACTAGTATATACTTATATAAAAAGACATTCTATTTACTAGAATTAGTAGTAAGAAAAGTCAAAGGTAATTAATGCATTTTATTTTCATCAAGTATTTTATTTAATTATTTTAGTTAATTATTTTATCTCATAACACATTTTCAATACAACTTACCATGATTTTTCTATTGTGATTTAAAACCAAATTATACGTTTAAAATCTTGTGAAATTATTATTATTATTTTTATAAAGCATATATTATTTGTTAAAAAAGTTGAATATATATAATACACATCACAGTACCATGATAGATGATTTAAATTTCAACCGACCAAAATATTAATGATTTAAATTTGAACACACCTATGCGTTTGACCAAATGTCTGGATGATTTAAAATTGAGCCCATTAAAAATTATTTAAATTTGAACACACCAGAAATTTTATGTACTTTTTATTTATAAATATATTGAAAGTGATATTTAATGGCTGTCATATAAACTATTTTAATATATTTGCAACGAATAAAAGTTTGAATGAATAATTTGTAATGTTATTCACAATGTTTGTAACTTATGAGACACGAACACATAACTCCATACATATTTGCCAGAGGGCGGCTTAATAATTTTTTAGACTCTTGATTAAAAGAGGTAGAAAATAGATAATAACATTATTAATTTTTAGATTTAAACGGACATGATTGTAAAAACAACTCATTTAATATCTTTGTCACGTGCATCGCACGGAGTACGTAGAAAATAACAACTTGTCATAAATATTTAAATAAGGAACAAATAAACTTAATTATGGTAACTATCAAATAGGTGGGAAGTTTAAATAGCATTAAGTGTGTTGTAGGTATATGCCCGACCCCTACAACTTAATAATAGTGCATTTAATTTATGACAAAAATCTAGTTGCCCAAATCCTTCTCTAAATTTAGGTTCCAACCCACTATATTATTGTCTTAAATTACATGATTACACATAATACAAATTCGAATTAATCTATCGTTATCTTATTCCAACTTACCTAAGACGCCATAGGTTAATGAGGCAAGTGTACCTTATCTTCATTTTCAATTTATTCCCTTTTTTTTTTTCCATCAATTTATTCCCTTCACATCACCTAAAACTTACAAATATTCAACCGAGCTATCCGATTATTTTTTTATGGAGTCATCAATCACTTAATGTGTTGACACATGTCAAAGTGTATATATTGTATAATATGTGTCAATACACTATTTATGAATAAATGTGGATGATTCCATAAGCCGACATCCGATAGCTCCATAGCAAAACTGCTAAAACCTAATGTGGATTTGCTATTTTTTTTTTTTTTTCGGTACAAAAATGGATGCTGAAACCCAAACTACTAGACTAAGCTAGAACTGGTCGCGGGTGGGACACCACGATAATGTCGTACTCAGGCCACGATCTCATCCCTGCGGGAGGAGAATTACACTGGTGCATGCCCAACGTGGAGGATGACGCCAAAGTTGTCATATGATCAGCCACAAAATTGACTTCCTTATGCACATGTTTGATTCGAATACGCCACTCGTTTGAACCAGGCTTGTGAATGGCTGGATTTGCTATATTAATCGAATGGCTGGATTTGCTATATTAATTGAATGGGTTTCAACTTTCAACAACTCTCTATATTCTTACAATTCACTATAAATGTCTTTAGAGAATTTACAATTTTTTCCACATAAATGACAAATCGAGAGTTATAGGTAAATAACTTTCATTCTTTTATGGGTTTGTTTTGTATTAATAATAATTTTGACTCATTTATTGTTAAAATGAAAAAGAGTGTTTTAATTGAGAGCGTCTGGCTATTTTATGGTGTTTGGTAGATATACCTAATTTTGACGCTTTTTTTTTTTTTTTTTTCGGTACATGAAAGGAGGCAAAAGCCTAAGGTTGTGACATGCATGGTCACATTACGTGAGTAAGATACATCGATAAGATCGTGTTTTAGCCACGGTTTCACTCCCGGTGGTGGTGCATCCAAATATTCGAGACCGCTAGGCCTGCTTGAAGCTAAAGAAGCCAAATAATCAGCTGCGAAATTCGACTCGCGCCAATTATGTAACAAGTGAACCCTCCATTCCCGGTTCATCAGTTCCCGGTATTTTGACGCTTGTTTTAGATGTGAAGTGGTATTGGTAAAAATTATTAATAAGTATCGAAGATTTATTTTAATTAAATAGAATAATTAATGAAAATATGGCTATAAATTTTCTTAATAAATACAATAATTAATGAAAATATGGCTACAAATTTTGTAAAAAAATGTATATGATAGTTGAAAGGGACAAAATTAAGGTTCAACTTAAATTATCAACATTTTTGCAGTTTATAATGTGATTATATGAACAAATTATTTATGCAGTCCCCACTATATTAATGGATTATAACCATATTCCCTTTCAAATCACACTTAAAGTTTATAGGGAAATAATATGCAATTTATGCGAAAGCACAATTAGTTTTTTCCCCATTTTAAAAGCCAAATGAATGTCACACACCAAATCACAACTTTCGATGTGGGATATAATTAATTGTATTGCATAAATACCAGTCCCCATCTTTGTTATTAATGGTTATGAGCCAACATTTTCTTTATTTATTTATTTATTTATTTTTTTTTTCTCGTTTGTGGAGGAAAAAGACCTTTGAAGAGAAGGAAATGCACAAAAACACACAATTGCGTGTGTTTTTCAAAGAAAGTGCTGGTTTAATACCGCGTGTGAATTGATTTTGGAATATGAGAAACGCGCTTTTACTACAATTACAAATTACGAGGCCGTCGTCAAAGTCAATAGTCAATACTTTTCCGTATTAGATATGTCAATACTTTTTCCCTATTAAGTACATATGAAAACTTGGGTATTAAATTCGGAACATGCTACG